AATACCATATTCGTATCAGGATCTCGGGGTGGCTGCCGGATAGCCATTGTTATTTCGCGTACGTCTAATCGAAACCGATTTATGCGACGCGTCGTTTCGGCTTGTACGGTAAACCTATACGCTGGTGGTAACACGTCGTTATCGCTGGCTCCCTCGTTGTGGGCGTCTTCGTCGACACAACTCTGCGACCGAAGAAGGGGTCCCCCGCCAGTCTGGTACTGTGTGTCCACATCCACCGCATCTAGCGTTTGGAAAAGGAGTTTTTTTATTATTTTTTTTTATTAAACAAAAAAAGAAAGAGTATTCGGCTCATACTGACTTCTCATTCCTCTCGAGGATTAAACATCGACCCGAGGTATGAGAATACAGCGTCTAACAGGTTTTTATCATCATCATCCCCTACATTTTTAAAGTTAGCAGTTTTGACAAAGAGGACTTTAAATGTTAAAGAATATTTCTTTCTACGTTACCTTCCTCGAGGGTAGCCACTGCGCTCGGAGCCCCATCGCGCCCCGCCAATGCATCGGCCGCTTCGTCGGCATCCGCTACCTCGTACACGCCGTTCCTACGAACCCATAGCACCGGTTCTTCAGCGTCGTCGTGCTCCTGCGGAGGCCGTGCGTTGTCCGGTGCAATGTCGTTATCGTAGCCAGCAGCCTCCAACGGACCTACATCTTTTTTTACTTTTTATTTTCACACAGATGAGTTTTCAACGGTGTCTGTCAATTTATAATTATTACATTGATAGCGCTCGTTAGAAACGCTGGACATGGTGGAGCGGTCATCATCATCATCGCCGTAGACACTGAGATCGCTAGCGGCCGATGCTATCGACATGATTTCATCTGTAAAAAAATTATGAAGAAGATCGCATTGTTTTTTTCTCTTTTTGTCTCCGATACTGTTTAACACATACCCCACGTATTGTGAAGCGATTCTTCACCCTCTTCTTCTTCTTCTTCCTCCTCCTCCTCCATCACCTGCACGTCCAGCGCTGTTGATGGACCTCCAATTTTTTTTTAATAAAACGTAAAATAGACGTAATCTTTTTTTTTTTAAAAAAGTATGTTTTACCGTTAGTACTTTGCATCACCGTCACCGTGCTGGTGCTGGGCTCCGGGTAAACCTCCTCTATATGATCAAGGCACCCTAAGAGCAACTGCTCCTGCTCCTCGGGGGCGACTTCGTGGTGAAAGCGCGTCAATTCTTGATTTATTTAAAAAAAAAGTTTTTTAAAAAAAGTATGTTTACCGTTAGCACTTTGCATCACCGTCGCCGTGCTAGTGCTGGACTCCGGGTAAACCTCCTCTATATGATCGAGGCACCCTAAGAGCAACTGCTCCTCCTCCTCGGGGGCGACCTCGTTGTGAAAGCGCGTCAATTCTTGTAAAATTGATTTATTTATTTTTTTTTTTTAAAAAGGAAAATTATGTAGGAGTTATTACTGGTAAGTGGCAGATACATACCTTCGTGGAATCGATGATCAGTTATAATGGCCCTGGTGATGTGGCTATCGCGCACTCCGCGTTTACCGATACATGCTACGGCTAACGAAGGAAAATTATGTAGGAGTTATTACTGGTAAGTGGCAGATACATACCTTCGTGGAATCGATGATCAGTTATAATGGCCCTGGTGATGTGGCTATCGCGCACTCCGCGTTTACTGATACATGCTACGGCTAACGAAAGTATGTACAGATCGTTTTTGAAATATCCTCTTTCATGACCCCTGGCTAGCACACGCAGAGTACAATGGGTAAAGACACTTTTCAATCCACGCGTTAACGTGCGAAAACCGAAATATCTTAACTCGCGACACCACGCCTTCTAGGTGTATTGAAGCGACGTGTCTTGACGAAATCGAGGATACAATCGCGAATATTTCCCAAGGATGACATTTTTTTTTTCTTTGCGTAGAGCTGGTGATTGCTGTAAGTGATCAGACTAACTGCCAAGACGTCGTGATACGAACTAAAACAGGGTACGTCTAGTCCGCGGACGTCTTACAGCCGCGGCGATATTAATTTCAAAGCTAATACGATAATTTCAAATACTATACGATACAGCTGAATCAGCAAAAAATGTCACGATTTTCTTATAGGATCGTTATTCGTGGAAAATCGGATAGAAACGTTTTAATCGTAAAATAAATTATGTATTATTGGTCGATCGTTCGTCGATCACGAAATACGGCGTATCCATAATACGGAAAAAAACGGTATAGAGGTGTTGCGTTGGGAGCTGCAGCGATCTTCTGACGTACACCGTTCGAGGTTGCATCAGCATCTCGTATCAGCATCTCGTCATCTTTGATACATCCTGCGGTATCAGCAGTATACTCTATCATGGCCATAGGCTCTTTGTTCGCTGCATCCTATGAAAACGGGGTATGGCTATGATGGTGGGGGGATATGTTCGACGATATTTCGATGACCTGCTTTTTAGATATCGCCTTACACAGTACTGCTCAGACCATCGCACCGATCGTACAATAGCATTTACTACAATCATGTACAAGAAGCAAGTACTGCTCTCCATTGTGTACGGTCTAAACCGATCATTTCGAAACAAGTGATCACCGGCTTCTCTTTAAATCGTTCGGGAAGCTTATCACCTGTGATACGCATTGTTAATCAAGATTATTCCGGCGTGGAGTTTGAACCTACCGAATGGGCCATCATCACCGACCACTTCCCAGTCATCGACAAATTCTTTACCGCCGAGGATAACATCAAGGAGGTACCCGAGGCTTTTAACACTCCTATTCTCATGCCCACTCATGAGCTAGCCTTCACGTACTCATACGGTGAGCGGGCAATTATTATCAAACCGGCAATGCCGGTGTCTACGGACAACGATGGCTTGGGTGTTAAAAGAGCTAGGACATACACACCTACGGTTGTGATGAAGAGGGTGTACTAACTCAATCTCCAGAGGGTTCTACGCTGCGTAACCTTTCAAATAACCAGACTACGCGAGATTACCGACAGTGCTAACAACTGTAAAGACACGCTGATTGCGGAACTCGACCGTCGCGGAGATGACACCTCCTCCAGGGACAACATATTGGGCGATCTTCGGTTGGTTCTGGAGAAGAAAGGCCTGTGGTCACCGGCGCTTAATCAATTATTGTTGGAGCTGCTGTCCCTCTATAATCACGAGTACCTTTCCTTCGTGCGGAGCACCATGGAGGACCAGAACAGCCATGCATAGGGTCTTTTTTCGTAATAAAACTGTACGCTTGATGTTTCTTGCAAAATGTGTATAATATATTTTTATTTAAAAAAACTGTTTTGTTTTGTTTCCTACACCTTCATCACCCCATATCTTCTCAATAATTTATAAAGCATTAAGCGTATTCCGCTGCATGTTGTTATTCGACGCTGCCGTACACCTGCAGGGATTTTCACTTCGCTG